TGCAGTTACCTCCCTTTAGGTGAGTTTTGAATTGTTATAGACTTGTGCGGGCTTTCACTGCTTCTTTCCTTATTACGACACAGAGATTGCTCAGACGATGATAGAGGCAGACCCTCCCATTGCCAGCAAGTGATTCATTGGAATACAAAAAGGGAACCGTCAACACGTGCAATAAAATTTGTTGCAACCTTAGAATTGTATATAGTTTACCAGGACTGTACCATTTTTAAAGAAGATAGGGCTAATAAAAATGAAACCCTGAGTAAAGCGGATATAATACTTGCATTTCTATATTTGATTTCTATCCCACTCCTAATAACCAGACCCATCTAGAAGTTTGTAAACTTACTTTTTGAAGATGCCCATAGGATGTACTTCCTCCATGCAGTGACACCATCTCACTCAGCCCTGTAAATATGCACTTCTTGGGTCACCACTCACATGGAGCCTGTCTTCTGAGCTACAACTCAATGTCAGAACACTGTAAACATTACCATTGCTTGCTGGAGGCAGTGCATGATGGGATATGTAGTCTTGAGAAATTGAGCATCAATTAAATATCAAGCAGCAGGGAAAGAGATGCAAAGCACACCGGGAATCCAGGAAGTTGTTAAAAGTGATGGGAGGACAGAAGGCAGCGCTCACTACATAAAAAGGGACATTTTCATGTAAGCTTTGATTGTATTATCAGAAACATCTCTAGTATGTATTCCTATATCAATGCTGATGTTATAACAGGAGAGGATATGCTGGGACTGTACGACTCCTTTATACCCCATGTTCCCTGTGCTGGCTTAGTGTCTGAACTTACTTAGGGTTGATGATGTCACCTCCTCCTCTGTCACATGTGGCAATGTTATGACCCGGTGACTGGTCATTCAAGCCCATGCACTCCATCATGGGATGGGGGGCTCACAAGCACCAGGTATATAATGACGGCTCATATGGGGGGTAAAGTGACAGGACCCCTTTAAATTCTACACCAAGTTGGACCAATTAAATACCAAAACAAAAAAGTGCATTTGAACTTTTATTAACAGATTAAAAATCATCTCCATTGTACCGGCACTGAACAAACACGAACACACACCCAGTCTTCATACAATGACAAGACATCAATGATTGACAAGTGCAGATTGATACAAAAGGCACACGAGGTGAGACAATTACAAAGATTTTCCATTAGAAAACAGATCTACATGAGACAGCGAGTACATCCAAGAGACGAGAACCTTCATATAAAACGGCCCGTACAAAGAAACGAGAGAGAGTAGAAGCACCGTGTAAAATGCTGAGCGCCAAGGAACGTGTTGGTCGTGTTCCCGCGCCGTCAGTCGCGTTGGTTTATGAAGCTCGCTGGTGGGGGAAGGCGGAGAAATATGTCGGCTTCAAGCGGAATATAAAGTGTTTGTAACAGTCACAATCATGACGAGGGTACGGTTAAAAATAAAAAACATCTTACATCGTTTCCAAATGTTGTACAGAAATGTCATGAAGGGGTGATAAAGGCGAAGTTCCCCCCGGGGAGAAAAGCTCCGATGCAGTCACAGGGCTCCTGTAGGTACAAAGCAGTTCTTGGAATTGCCGTAACTCTATACACCGTTCTGCTGAGCCTGGCTGAAGATCCCCCATAGTTGGCTTGGCCCTGCCCTGTCCCTAGGACAGGGGTCAGCAACCTGCGGCTCCGGAGCAGCATGTGGCTCTTTCATCCTTCTGCTGCGGCTCCCTGTCCAGGGGCGCAACTACTGAAGGGGCCTCGCTGAGAAAGTGTTGAAATGCTTGAGCTATTGGTGGTCACACATTCCACTGCCAAAAAACCTGGCGGGATTACATTGAAATGTGTGACCACGTCACCGGTCACACATTGTAACACAGTCACAAACTTTGATAGAACACCGCCATCAGGGGGGTAAGGCCGGTACCCCCCTGTACCGTTTAAGTGTCACACGGTAACCTAGTGTGTGCTTGTCAGGGTAGGAGAGGGTGCAGACGTACACTCGTACTACAATGTATATTGTGCGACACAATGCTGGACACAGGAGAACTGTACAGGACTGTGCACTACGTACATTACACACTATATGACTGTCAGCCTGAAAGACACAGACTGTTCCCTAGACACAAATGTTCTGCAGAAGACACAAAGTTCTGATTGTTATTCCAACTTCAGCAAATTGGGCAAACCGCACTCTCTAGGTTTCAATTTAAAAAAGAAGTACAATAAGAACCCCTTGTAGAGCTAAAGTAACAGGTTTGGCCCTGGTTCTCCATGAAACCCCTTGGGAACCATTCTGCACATCCAAAGCTACTACTTCAGTCAGAGTTCTAACCCAAACACTTGACTCAGATCTATCCAGAAATCACACATGATTAGTTAGAGTCTATAAGACGCCAGACAGGCCCAAAATCTGAGTTATCCACTCACGTTCATGGACCAATCAGACCTAAATGTGCATTAGGGAGGAATGAATAGTCCATATGACCTGTAATGACCACAGGAAGGGGTAATGACCACAGGAAGGGGCAATGTCCACGGGTCCAACATAGACCTGATCAGAACATCACAAACATTAAAGTACAACTAAAGGTTACTGAGGGAGTCTAAACAAATGACAAATCCAGCTGCTGAGTGATGCCCCCGTGCCTCATAAATACCTTCCCTGAGGGAGTCAAATCCTCCTTCATTTGAGTGTCACACGCTCCCCCTTCCAGCTCCCCGGGGTCGTTCACACCATCTCCATGCGGGCTGTGCGGGCCGTTTTCTCCAGTGCAGTCCCAACGCAACACAAGACGATGCCTGGTCGTGGGTGGTGATAGTTCAAGCCACCGCGTTCTAGTGTTGTGCGCTTTCATAAAGTACGGCATGAAGTCCTTTTTTTTAAGCGCACCAAAATGAACCCATAAAACTGACTTGTGACATTTCAATAAAGTTCTAACAAAAAAACTGTGCGATGCAGCTCGATCAAACGCATTGGCGCTGTCCTGGCACATGCACACCAGCAGCTGGGTGAGAACAAGCCCGGAGGGGCTTGCAACAGAAGCAGTGCTGCCCATCCAGAAAGCAGTGGGCGGGACTAAGTGTACCCAGGTTTTGATTGACAAGATACAGGCTTGTGAATCAGCAGTTACAATGCCGATAGCCACGCCCCATGGAACCTTTAGTCATCCCATTGTAGTGTAAGCAGCCACAGGCTATGTGAGTGACAACTCTGCTCTGAGTTCAGGAGCGTTGCAGCATTGTTACCACACCATCATAGGAAGCTGCATTAGGTGGACTTCACTGGCAGGATCAATATCAATATGTTCCAGTCCATTCTGTTATATACTGTGTGTGCGTGTGCGTGTCATGATATCAATCTGATCACACGTTACACCTACACTACACGCTATGACATTTCCATTTACACAGATTTTCAAAAAGGTAAATAAAGAAGACAAAGAAAAGTCATTCTGGGACTCGTCTCTTGAATTGGACCTTTCATTATAAAATAAGAAAACCCCAACGATATAATATAACGGGGGCCTGGCATCCATAGATATCTCTGGCTCACAGAAACCTAGCCCAGGTTGAACCGCCATGTTTGCAGGCACTACATGACGCTTACAGTGCCCCGCTATCGTCAAGTCATACAGCTCTTGTCTTTAGAAAGCGGCCTCAATAAGTAGAACAGTCCCTGCCAGCTTGCTCTGTGTGGAAGCAGCGGTCTCTCTGTAGAAGTCCAACACACCCTCTGCTGAGTCAGAGCTAAAGCTCTTCAATCAGCAAACTCATGCTCGCTGTTGATTGGACAGTTCTGGCTCAAAAGGGGCGTGTTAGACCTCTGCAGGGAGACTTCTGCTTCCACACAGAGAGCAAGGCTCCTTCTCTGTAGAATGCTGGCAGGGGACATGTCGGGTCTCCTTTCTAAAGAAAACGCACTGTCAGACTTTGAACCCCTTTGTATTTTATTTTGATGCAAAAGGAATGTATTTAGCTGAATTAGCTGAAGTGGGAGCGAGTTACGCACCATCAGCCAGACAGTGCAGAAGAATTTCAGCTGGTGTGCAGAGGATGAAGGGTGTGTAACATGAGGGCTTATTCACACCAAATGCGGTGCATTCCAGAGCGGAAGCTGCTGGAACGCGACCCAATTCCTCACACATTGTGGGGCGGAAGAGGGCGTGGTGGTGGATTTAATTCAATGGCACTGCTTTCCTCCCCCCCCCCCCCCCCCCCCCCCACTCGCGTGCCTGCGTTCTGTTCCACTGCAAACGCAAAAAATAGAGCAAGTAGCATTTTTTACGTTTGCAACGGAACACAGGCCATGTTTTGCCACGTGCCCGATCGCACTGGGGCGAGGGGAGGGCGCGGAAGCGGTGCTATTGAATTGAATGTACTTCCACGCCCCCTCCCGCCCCAGAACGCAGGGGGAAGTCTTGTGAGGGATTGCGGTGCGTTCCAGCAGCTACCGCTCTGGAACGCACCGCATTTGGCGTGAACAAGCCCTCAAGAAGGAATACAAATCATTACACGGAGCAATTTAAAATATCTTTAGCAATTTTCAGAAAATATTTATATAGAATACATGAAACTTTCTACATCTGCCTGGAATACGTGTTGAACCTTTCCTGAATTTCTCCAACCATGATTAGGCGCTTTAGGCGCGGAAGCCTGACGACGAGCGCTTCATTTTAGCAGAATAACTAAACTGTACAAAAAACGTTTAAAAACTAAGCGAATGTTAAATTAATAATGTTTACATGAAAATCAGTAAAATGAGCTCATTAAATAACGCGCATGATTACAACGTCCGAGGTGAGGATTTTAAAAATGTGATTAATTTTATAGACGATAAAGAGAACTTAATTTTCCTCCCGCTCCGGTTTAATCTCCGTGCCGTGAAGCCCTTTACTAAACCGAGAGGACTGTCCCTTCATGAATCCCGTATAGCAGACTTTCCGGGGCGAGGTACATAGTGACTCCACGGCTCTGCCACAAAAGGTTTGGTCACCTACCTTCCCTTACAATATCAGGCCTAGTCCAGGAATATGAACGCATGTCAATGTTGGGGGAACGTTTCCCACACCTGCTGCCTTCTTACAAAACCGGACCAATCCCAGGCCTTTGGTGAGAAGTCACTTGGTTTTCATCCTTTCAAATTTCCACTGGCCTTGGCCGCTCACGCATCCAGACGCTGAATCTCAGGGCGGCAGTCTACGTCGCGGGATTCGCTGCGTGCCCTTATGTAGTCGCTGGACTGGCGGATGTTCTGGGACCGGCTGCCGGATCTCCATTTCCGCAGTGCCAGGTATGTGTTCACAGAGTAGGAGAGGGTGGCTGAAAAGCCAAAAACCTAGAACAGAAAGATAATCTTATATTACTTTGATGACACAACGGGGTGTATTTATAAAAAATGCACAGAGCCATTCGTCCTGCGATACTACATGTATATTTGTTCTGTGCTAATGGACACAAAAAAAAACAAATGACATTCCTATAGGATTCTTACCAGGTAGAATGTAATATCAGGAAAATACCCTTTTATAGCCTCTAGATGGCGCTGAGGCGCATAGGGAATGTATATTCCTTTCCTATGCTCCTCTGCTCCATCTAGTGGCCATAATGTGGTATTTTCCTGATATTACATTCAACCTGGAGAAAAAATATATACTATTGATATTCAATGGCACGGAAATGTACACAATTTCACAGGACAGCCGTCTCTGCAAATGTTTTATAAATACATCAAAATTATTTAATTGATACAATAAAAAAATATTTCATTAGAAGAGAAGAAATGATGTAGAAAGGTTTGTCCTAGAAAGCAGGAAACGCGCTTCATCCACAAGAGGCTGGAAGGTCTGTCTTGCTTTCAGGGGTAACTGTCTCTAACCAGAAGTAAATGAGCCATTCGCAATTACATCTGAACAAGGACGGGCCGCTGTCACCCTGCCATTGCTATGTACAAGATGAGCGGCCGCAGCGATCTGGAACCACCTGCGATTCTTGCCACAAGAATCCATCAGTCTTTCCACATTAGTTCACAGCCGGAGCCTCGTGTGAATGAGACCCAACAACGGGCAAACTCACATGATATAAAAGGATGCAGTGTCAGGGAAAAAAAAATAGATTTTTGAACTTAAAACCCTTTTCTCTCAGTCCATTGAGGGACACAGCTTGATGATAATTAGGCAACCTCGGGTTATACCTTGGGTTTTGTAGTCCTCTATAGCCGGTGCCATTCTGCATTAATTGCTAATTGCTGTATAATGTTATACTTTTCATTTCACTATATTGTACACCACACTATTTTCTTTTTTTTTTTTACTTTCACCGCTCCAACCTTGCTCCTGTGATGGACTACAATCTCAATACAAACTAGTAGTCCCATCACTAGAGCCATTTAAAAATTTTTATTTTATCCGATTAACCGATTAATCGAACTCAATAATCGGCTAACTAATCGATTTTGAAAATAATCGTTAGCTGCAGCTCTAATACCGCCACATACAGGAGAAATGGGCACGAAAGTGAAACAGTTGCTGAATCATCATCAAGCTGAGTATCTCAATGTACACAACAAAAATAGAGTTTTGTACTCGCCATAAAAGCCCTCTCACTCGTCTATTAAGGGACACAGCTTGATAATTAGGCAACCTCGGGTTATACTGCCGCCTACGGGAAAAATGGGCACGAAGTGAAACAGTTGCTGAATCATCATCAAGCCGTGTCCCTCAATGGACACAAGAAAAATTGAGTTTTGCACTCGCTATAAATGATGATAACTCAGCGACCCCATTTTGCTTATCGCCCATTTCTCCTATAGGCGGCAATATAACCCTAGGTTGCTCAATAATCATCAAGCTGTGTCCCTCAATGGACAAGAAATCAATCTGGTTTGTCCTGCTGGACAGCTTGGCCTGTAATAGGAAGTAGAATAGTGAAATGTGTTGTGCGAGAGCTTGTGCACGTGGCAGTACATGGCCATGCGTTGTACAATATGGTTGTATTTCCTCTGCCGGGAGGGGAAGGTGCAGCGTTCAGCCATCACCAGGCAGCCTAGAGCAATCAATGGCAGGTGGTGGCTGCACGCAAATATGCAAATGTACACAAATCTGAGCGGCTACATGCGTACAGGGCTTCCAGTCGGATTCTTAGTTACATGTATGCAGCCCCCATAGATTTGTACAGGGTGACTGGCGGCAGCTGTACGATATACTTCTCACTCGCGGCAGAGAAAACGCATGTGCATGGTACACTGTACAGCCATTTACTGCCATGTGCATGAACCCCAAATGCTACTGGAAGACTAAGTAACGTATCTGATCGTTTTTATGTCCCCCAATACTTTACCTGCAGGAGAGCTACAACAATTTGAGCAGCTTTAGGTGGAGTCGCCTGTGCACAACAACAAGACCACTAGAGGGCAGCAGAGCCCCGGCGTCTGGTATACGACAATGCAGCTGCTGAACAGGAAATCCAGACATGGGCAGCTGTTGCCAAGTAACTGCATACTTCCAGAGTCCAGTTATCTGGTTAGAGGAAACGTCTATGAATAGAAATGGAAGGGGGGTGACTGGTGACCTACTTCTGAAAATGCTAATAAGACTATAACGCTGTTCCAATGGCTTCCTTATATTATGGCGCTCCGACCGGGAACAAGCATGCAGCAAGTAAAGTCAGAATCAAGCCAGAACTCCTCATCTGCATATGTATGGAAGCCACGGAATCATAGCAGCCAGAAAACTAGCACTTTCAGAAGGAAAGGTCAGCAATGGCGGCCATTCGTCAGTAAGGTTTTCCTTTGAGACGCTATGAAGGGAATTTATCAAAACTGGAGCAGACAAAATCTGGAGCAGCTGTGCATGGCAACCAGCTTCTCAGTTTAATTTGTTCAGTTGAGATTTGATAATGAAATAGAGAAGCTGATTGGTTGCCATGCACAGCTGCTCCAGATTTGATACATTCCCCCCTATGTGTGACAATTGGTGCATACATACAAAAGTCAATTCATTTCAATGCAAAATCCACCCTGGGATCAACCCCCCCCAGGTATCTAGGAGGCGGCAGCATCACCAACTCCTGAACACCTGCAAACTACCTCTCAGGCCTTGCTTCCAACCTGAACGCACTGCCTCGCATTGCGGCCGGCTCACTTTTTTGTGGCGCTGTAGCCACGCCTTCCGGCCGCAATTCAATCGGCCACACGGTATCGCAAGGCACACTATGCCTGCGGTCCGGTCCGATCAAAATAGTGCTTGCAGCATTTTAATCGCACTGGACCGGGCCAGACCGCAGGCATAATGTGCCTTGCGATACCGTGTGGCCGATTGCATTGCAGCCAGAGGGTGTGGCTACGGTGCCATTCACTTCAATGGACTGCCACGCCTGCCCCACAAAAAAGTGAGCCGGCCACAATATGAGGCAGCGCCTTCGGGCCGGAACGCACTGCATCTGGTGTGAACGAGGCCTAAAGAGCGATCCACTTTTCAAAGGGCTGCTGAAGTCCACTACCTGTGTGAATGAGACCTGACATGGTGGGTATTATGACTCGCCCACATTCACCCCAAAATAAAATCTTTTTGGGTGAAATGTACAATAATAGTATTAGAATATGATGAGGCCAGGCAGCAGAATCTGGGTGAAGCACGCACATTCTCTTCTCGCTGGAAAGACTTCAGAAGCCATTTTCTTACCGCTGCAGAAATTTCCGCCCCAGACTTGTGGTTCAGCGATGCCAAAATTACAGAGGCGATGAAGAAAAAGAGAGCGCTGAGTCCGGTGTTTACCAGATCCTGAAAAGACACAAACACACACGAGACAATGAAAATGGCAGCACGGCACATTCTTCAGCCCTCTGCGGCCAGGCCGTGGGCTCACATGGCAACTCAGGAGAAGAAAACACACACCGGCCTGTCCCCTGTCACATAATACGTCCCTGGCCATCATGCTGGCCCCTCCAGCTTCAATTCTGAGTTACCTACCTTCAAGTATGCAGATAAGGAGCTCTGACTTCACTGGCTGCATGCTTAGGCCTCATTCACACACAACACACGCAAAGTTGTATATTGCGTCTATACGAGCGTCTATGCGTGCACTATATGGAATCCCAGAATGCATCACTCGTAATGGAATTTTATATGCGCTGTATGCATGTGAACTCGCAAATATACGGCTCCATGCACGGCTGTGTGTATGGAGCCATTTATTTGCATATGTTGCATATGGTACAATGCGCGGCAGTGTGAATGAGGCCTTAATCAGGGCCAGAGGAGGAGAGAGCAGAGAACCTAGTTCATCGGATGTCCCTTCATTGTCAGGTTGCGGGTGAGCACATTTTATTGCCGACTTTGCACCCCAGAATATGGAGGTCACCGGCCTGGCGGTGTCAGATTCAGCACTCCTCCTGTAGAAGCATTTCCTGCGGTCTGCCTGGCGTTCAGCTTTAGGATGAAATATAAATATACGATGGAGGATTCTTGCACACACGCAAATCACGCCTGGAGTCACGGAAGGATACGGCTCACGTGAATCATTCCTTTATACCACATTGGCTGACTGTGCATGAAGATTTTGTACATGACAGCACATGTCCTGGAGGAGCCATTCACCCCAAACTGGACACCGCCGCCCCGGGATTAATCACCGCTCATGCGTCCCATAAAACGTGGATCTGATCAGCATGTCGACGGGCACGCAGTCCACTTCACATGGATTTGATTGTAACAGCAATGTAGAGAATACGAGAGCCGCCGAGAGTGAAAACAAGCCTATTGCACAAGACGGCCCTTTTCACACGTCATTAAACCCTCTGCAGTTCTCCGGGAGCTCCTGTGTGAGGATATTGGCAGCCCGGCCCCACAGCCCATGTGTCTGCCATTACGCTCCCTACCAGAAGAGGACAATCCCAGCAGGCCAAGATCAATCCCCCCTCCCCCGGTATTTACAGGGAGCGCAGCAAAGATAAAACACATGAGCTGACCCACACAAAGAGATGTACAGTAATACCTTGGTTTACGAGCATAATTCGTTCCGGAAGCATGCTTGTAATCCAAAGCGCTTTTATATCAAAGCGAATTTCCCCATAGGAAATAATGGAAATTCAGATGATTCGTTCCACAACCCAAAAATATTCATATAAAATGATTACAATACTGTACTGTAATATAATACTGTACAAAATATAAAGAAAAATAAACCAATTACAGATACCTTTGTGGCCGGTGTGAGAGGGACAAGAGAGGAGGAGGATTATTGTGTAGGACAACTTTCACTATCACTAGCGGAATCACTGCTATCTCTTGACTCAATGGAATCTTTTTCATTTCGTGAAACCTTAACAAGGAATCTGTCCAATGTGACATTGCGTTGTCGTTAAACAGACTCATCGCTCGCACTGCTACAGCCTTATTCGGGTGGTGCTTTTCTACAAAATTTTGCTCTTATTGCAAGGCATTGCTTGTATATCAAGGCAACATTTTTTCAGAAATGTGTGCTTGTCTTGCAAAACACTCTCAAACCAAGTTACTTGTAAACCAAGGTATTACTGTATAGGGATATAGGGAGCGGAGCCCGGGACCAGTCAGGGTGTAGAGGGGAAGCTGCAGGCGGAATGGCCTTGTGGGAGTGAAGACGCCAGATGTGTATCTTTCATTGAAAATCATATTGTGTAACAATCTTCATCTATAGCCCTCAGCAGATTCCCGAGAGGCTTCCTGTGTCCCACCATCACCCTCCACATACAACAAGTCAGACAGAAAACGGCCAAATGCTGCCCAGGAAATACACCTAGAACACCTTTCAAAATGGCTTTGTCCCTATATTGGATAGAGTAGAGGAGGGTTATAAATTGGTCCAGTTGCATTTGGGGAAATTTCCCTTTGCTTCCTGTCCCATAGCCACAACAGGAAGTGAGGGGAATCCCCTCTTAAGCCGGGTATACACGAGATGGATTTCAATTGGTTCCCGATGGACCGACCGAAATCCACACTCGTCCGGCATTCTTTAATCAGCTGATCGATGGAGCCAATTGGGAAATTCTCAGCTGCACGGAGCTAACAGCCAATCAGCTGCTAGCTCTTTTGGGGTATTTGGACAGCGGGGGTTATGGAGGAATCTGTTCTATTTTTGAGACCTGTGAGCTGGTCAGAAATAAAATAAAAAACAGAGACATGTACACCCGGCTTTAGATAGTTGTCACCAGAACTAATGTCTCCACTGGAAGATCTCTCCTTTATTCCCGCTAGTTTTCCTATTTTATCAAAGCTGAACTGCGGAAACGGTACACCGCTGACCGCCGACATACATCTATGGGAGACGTTCTACCTGCCAAAGACTTCCGTTTCTCCATTCCTAAGATTTACACAGCTCTGGTAGATAGCACAGCCAGTCTAGTGACCTGGCTTTTCTTAAAGTGCCATTAAAGTCACATCCCCCCATGCTGGTGTAAGGACTTACCTTAAGGGTTAGTTCACAGCATAAGCAGTGCGTTCCCGTCCGATTCTGGCCAGAACGCACTGCCTCGCATTGCGGCCGGCTCAATTTTTTGCCGGGCTGGAGGGGGCGTGGCGGGCCATTGAAGTGAATGGCACCGTAGCCACGCCCTCCGGCCGCAATGTGATCGCCCGCACGGGATCGCAAGGCACATTGTGCCTGCGGTCCGGTGTGATCAAAATAGTGCTTGCAGCATTTAGATTGCACCGCAATACTTTTCCTGCAAGATTCTAAGCTTGGGTGTACCCTTCCGATTGGTCCATTAATGTTCCAGGCTGCCTTAGTGGCCAATCAGAAAGCCTCAGGTGGTAAGAGTAGTGTGTCCCAGCATGGCAGGTCTTAGATTTGCACACAACTTCAGCTGCCTGGATCTCTGAATCTACTGACCATTCCGACATACAATCTTCACTGCAAATAGGTGATGTGTCATTATGAGCTCAGCGACTTGTCCGGGTTTGGGAACGGTTTATTTTATGCCGGTTATTTCCTTGTTATAAAGAAAGTACACGGCAACTCCTAAATGATTCTAGGGAAGGGAGGAGGGAGTCTTGTAGATTAAACACTCCTTAGCCAAGAATGAGAAGAATGAGCGAGCACAATGTAAATCTTCCAGAAATAATCCCAAACCAGAGGTGGTAAACATCATGTGATGTAAGATTTCAGCAGAATGTCTGCATACTGGAAAAGCAGCGTGGGTCATGTGACCGGCCTGATGGTGGTGCAGGAAGTGGTTTCATAATAATCATCCTGGGAATAATACTTTCTAACATCCTCTAGAAGTCTCCTACATGCCATACAGAAATGCTAACGAAGCATCGGCCTCTAAATACCAATTACTTTACATTTCCTTTCTGCTAGAACTTGCCAATGTTTGGACGGGGCGAAAGGTTGAAATTAATTCTTCTAATTTCCCTGCAGGCCTGTTCACTCTACAAGTGGTGACCTGCGCCACTAGGTCACTATGGGACCCAGCACAGCGCACCGCTGTGAGGGGACCTGAATGAATGTACAAATTGTACAGTGCCGATAAAGTTTACAAAAGAAAAAAAACTAAAACAGTGACAGCTCCTCCAGTATGCCATACACAGCACAATCCCGGAACTGCCACAACGTACAGCGGACGGGCTCTTGTGAGCAGGCCATGTAAGCCAAGCTGGGAGCTGCACCATACATTCTGTACCGATATACAGCTTACAACACACAGGGATGCTTGTATACAGGTCACCGATGAGCCAGAAAAAACTGAATGTGTGTACGGAACAAGGGAACATCAAGTGCAGAATTCTGAAATGGAGGGAAGTTACATTGTTAAAGGAAGAACTCCCTACACAGCACCCCAGGCACAAGCGTCCCAGGCACAAGCGCCCCAGGCACAAGCAGAACAAGTAAACTGGAACTTCAATCATTTTCATTCCAGGTTGAATGTTATATCGGGAAAAATACCGCAATATGGCCACTAGATCACGCCAAGGAGCACAGGGAAGAAGGATTATACGCTGCCTGGTCAAAAAAAAAAAAAAGTCATCACCTAGATTTGGGGCTGTTTTATGATCTGGGGTTGCTTCAGTTGGACAGGTCTAGGTTCAGCATCATTATGCCCCCCAAAAAATGAGGTCAGCTGCCGACCTGAGTATACTGACCGATCAGGTTATTCCATCAATGGGTTTTTGTTCATGGCACAGACATATTCCAAGATGGCCATGCCGGGATTCATCGGACTCAGATTGTGGAAGAGAGGTTCACGGAGCATGAGACATCATCACACATGGATTGGCCACCACAGAGTCCAGACCTTAACCCCATTGAGGATCTTTAGGATGTGCGGGAGAAGACTTTACACCAGGGGTAGCAAACATCCGGCCCTCCAGCTGTGGTGGAACTACTAATCCCATGAGGCATTGCAAGATTCTCACAGCCAGACATGACTCCCGAAGAGAGATGCATCATGGGATTTGTAGTTTCACCACAGCTGGAGGGACGGAGGTGTGCTACCCCTGCTTTACACAGTGGTGTGAGTCTCCCATCATCAGAAGATCTTGGTGAAAACTTAATACAACTTTGGGCAAAAATAAATGTTGCGACATTGCATAAGATTATCGAAACAATGCCACGGCGAATGTGTGCCGCAATCAAAGCTAAAAGGAGGTCCAACAAAATATTAGGGGATGGTTTTTTTGGGCCAGGCCATGTATTTTCTATGTGTGCAATGCACATTTGTAAAGCATACCGCTGTGCTTAGTTAATCTATGGTACCCGTTAAAAAAAAAAAAAAAAACAGAAGGATGAACAGCTATAAATGAGATTGAAAAATCCCCCCCATTGAATATTTTTTTTAAATGGAGCAGACAGAATCTGGAGCAGCTGCCCATGGCAACCAATCAGCTTCTCTCTTCAGTTGGCTCAGGTAAGATTCAAAAATGAGATAGAGGAGCTGATTGGCTGCCATACACAACTGCTCCAGATTTTGTCTGCTCCAGTTTTGATAAATCCCCGCCCCCAGTGTATTGAAAATATATACCAGGTTATGAGAGCTTTCGAAGGCTAGATTCTCCTCTTTAGACCTTGTTTACCCATATTCAGGGTGTAACATGACAACACCATGACAGAGGGACTTGTAGTTATCCAAGGAATACATCCGTAGTCCATTCATTCTTCCTCCTGTCCCTGTTACTGAATGTCCACACCTCGGTACAGACAGGGACGGGAGGGAGAATCTGCAGGAGCCAGAACATTTCAAGGTGGACTACGCCTCTAAATTGGACAGGACGCTGGTCCAGGGATTTATCCGATTCCAAATATGGGGTCAGGAAGGATTTTTTATCACAGCAAGTTGGCCTAGGCTTGTCGGGAGTTGTTTTCTGCCTCTCTCTGAATCAAACACACAGAGCAGACACACACGTTGAACTTGATGGACCTGTCTTTCAACCCTACGAACTATGTAACTACGTATGGCTGTTATAGGTGATAACAAAGAATACGTTGCTTCATAAAAGGATCCCAGGAGTAGCCCTGAGAAGAGAAGTGCAGCAAGTCATCCCCTTTCCTAATCTGACATTCATGGATTGATATTCTGTGTATAAAGAATCGGTGTCCTTCAGTATACGAAGCGTGTTGATTTAGCTTTGCTGAGCTCAATAACAATGCTGATGCTGACAATGGTGACATTTGCATTGGATTACCTCTTGTGACAGGCGCACTCACCACACCATTCAGACTGCTGAAGACCTGGCCTCTCCTGATGACCTAGTGAGAGGAGCGCTGACAGGAAGGGATGAGGGAGAGGACACGCTGCAGACTTCTAAAGACCTGGCCTCTCCTGATGACCTAGTGAGAGGAGCGCTGACAGGAAGGGATGAGGGAGAGGACATGCTGCAGACTTCTCAGCAAGGACAGTCACCTTGTTATGAATGGCTGCGATCACGGCTATTTAATCCGAGGAGTCTATGGGGACACTCCTACGGCTGTGTTAGGCGTTCACAGATACTGAAATGACCAGAGAAGAGGGGAAGGGAGAAGCCGTAAGGCTTACATTCTGTTAGGACGTAGGCCGTACATAATTAAGCTAAAGGGTTAAAGCTGAAGTTTATATTTTGCCTTCCCTGGTTCTTCTCGTCAACAAGCAAGTTACATTTATAAATAAAACCAGTTTTCATGACAAGGCCTATATGTGATGCTCATCCTTTATGATTGAAAGAACTAAACTCCAATGAATGACAAGGAGGGCCAGGACCGTAAGGCTGGGGAGGAAAGAGCTAGATGATCCTGGAAGTTCTGCAGCCAGGAAATAAGGCGGGCTCTCTATCTGACTTGCTGCAGCTTGTAATGCACATTTTGAAAGGTTAGTAGAGGAAGGCCGGAGCTCAGCATTACAGGTTTGTTCACACAATCACCAGACCAGATCTGGATGCATTTCTGCACATGTAGTCATTTGCGCTTTTGACGCATTCTGGTGTGTTTTTTCCTCAGTTGGTTTTGCTTGGGGGTTTGGCATGTTACAATGCGTTCTGGTGCATGTACATGTGTTTGTATGCATTCCAGACCAGAAAAACATGCAGCATGCTGGACTTCTTTCTAAAAGCTCTAGAACTGAACGCACTGGAGTGACGCACACTCATCTTTACCATTGGAAGGATCGTTTATGCGTTTTTGGTGCAGAAAAAAATCGTTCTGGCCTGAAGATGGTGTGAAGAAGCCGCGAGCGCAGGTTATGCCTGCACCCAGTGTACTGCGCATAGAGCAGCGGGGAGAAGACTCACCGTTAGAATCCAGTTGATGTGAGGGACGCGCTCGTGGAGGGACAGGCTGAACATGAGCAGCAAAACGCCGGTCACCACAAACGCACTGCAGCTGACAAACTCGAAGAAGTACAATCCTTCACATGGCGAGCATTCCATTATCGTCTCGATGCAGATAAACGACAGCATAGCCAGGAGCTGCCAACACAAAAACACATCACAAATCAGTTACGAGACAGGAAACGCAGACAGCAGCAACTGTACAAATGAAAATATACATTCCGAGTGGAGTCACCCTTTAATATGGTGTGTGTGTGTGTGTGTTCACCTGATTTAATATTGCTTTAAAAGTCAGAAAGCTGAACTCCAGATAAACAAAACCGCCCAAATCCATAGTAACATCATTTTATAACACTGTCTGGCCAGTCTTGTGATTCAGAAGAACAACAATGTCCTGCACCTCTCTGCGGGCCGCACTGCACTTATGGTTATTACACGGGATTTATACAGTGCCAACAGCCTGTGCAGTGCTTTAAAGCAGTGATTTCTCAACCAGGGTGCCTTCCTCCAAATTTTGGGCAGCACCATGGAAACGAATGACACTAACCTAAGATGCGTGGCATCCAGTCACAAAAGTTCTCCTCCTTCCAGGCCTGCTTCTCCTCCT